AAAAAGCTCCAATTTACTGCACTTGAATAGCGCCAACTGAACAGTGCAAATGTTCATTTAGACACACTTCTGATCAAAAGTGAGCAAACGCATCGCCCAATGTGCAGCCAGCTTGCGCATATATAAATCTTGTTTCAACATGTGACAAACACATTCTTTGGACATGCTCATAGCCTCTGCACATCTCTCTAACCTTGATTTGGCAATCATTCAACTCCACTTGGTGGATTTTAGCAATGTTTTTGTCAGTGGTTGCAGTTTTTGGCCTACCCAAAATTTCACAATCCCCGTACACTGTGTCCAACTCCATTTTAAACAAAGTAGGTGTATTGGCTTTCAAAAATAAATATCTAATGACAGCACAATACTTGATTTTCTCCATGTTTTCAAAAACAATCACACCAACTCACAACAGTAATTATCAAACAAAAAATTTGTGTTCAAAATAGCTGAAATTTGATTGGTAGTTATCAAGTGATGCCCAAACAAGTTTTTCCACTTCAGTTGTTTTGAGTTACCATCTACGTATCGAGGTTGTAAGCTTTTCAAACAGCCCTCGTACATACATACACATTCTACATTTCAACTAAATATTTATCCCAAATGACAATCAGTAAATGCAAATGGACTTTTGTTTTTGTTCAAACTTTGTTTAACACACAACAGTAATTGTCAAAGAAAAAATTTGTTTTCAAAATAGCTGAAATTTGATTGGTGATTTGATCAAGTGATGCCCAAACAAGTTTTCCTACTTCCAGTTGTTTCGAGATTCCATCTACATATCGAGGTCGGAAGCTTTTCAGACAGCCCTCGTACATACATACACATTCTACATTTCAACTAAATATTTATCCCAAATGACAATCGGTAAATGCAATTACAAACAGACTTTTGTTTTTGTTCAGATGCAAACTTCATAATGATCATTTTGAGAACCAATTCAAAGTATTGTTCTTTTAGTGATTCGGCAGCAAAATAAGAAACTCCCGCAGAAATTTCGTCCTTCCTTCTTATATTAGAAGAAAATTCTACAAGTACAAATTTTAAAATCAAGTTTAAGACAAAAAATAATTACAGTTTATTCTGGCTTACATGATTACGGCAAATCTTTGAGGTTTATCTGCCTAAGGAGATGGATGCCTTTGTGGAGGACTTTCTAAGGGAAACTGGCTTGTATACACATTACACCTGGAGAAAACCAAAAAAAATGCCCACGCAGCCAGCTCATTCGTGGGATTCGAGCTTTAGACCGAACTACCTGTGTTCAGCGACTTTATCACTCAGCTGCTCGTGGGATCAAAAAATAATTATAATTTTTCTGTAAAAGGTGTTGGAACTTGGAAAGCAGCAAAAAGAATACATATAAAAATGGCAATGTTGGAAACAAAACATTTGTCATATGCATCACTGTCTGAATAATTGTCATGTGCGTGGCTGCCAGAGTTTGGTGTATTCTGAAGCTTTAGCAATTTCTATTAAGGTAGTTGCAATAATACGAGTACCATTTCATCTTTACGAATGGAAGCTTATGAAGTCAGAGATTAAAAAAAGTAATTATATAAAAATGTAGCTAATAAATGTTGTTTAAATACAGATCTTCACAAGCAGATTCAAAGAGCTGTACTGATCAAAGTGTTAAATTAAAAGTTTGTGCAATTTTTTTTTTTTTTTCCCCTTTAAAAGGAAACATTACTTTCAATGTGAAAATAACAACAGTGCAAAAACCCAAGAACTGAGCATATCTTATAAGGAAAAAGAATAATATTAAGAAAATTTTTTTTGTAAGTTTTCAGATTTTACATTAAGTCCAAAGGGGCTTTTTTTAATGTTTTGTATGTTACCTTTATTTATTGAAAATCATGTTCTTCGAACTTAAACCATAAAATTCAATTCAACAGCAATATCCCAAATTATTTTAAAATGAGCAATCTTTAAAAATTCTGCTACACAGTCTCGCGCGCTGGAGTGAAAAATGTCCCTCCCCCGTACAATTCTGCTATTGCTAGCTTTGAAATCGTCGAGTTTCTTAATAAAAAATTCATGAATGCTTTACAAAATATGAAATAGATATTAAAACAAATTCAAAATTCAGACTTCCAGATGCCCATACTGGGGTGGAGACGTACGTTATTCAAAATTTTATGGCTCTAGGTACTGTTGTTTTATCACAATGTGAGAAACATACATACATTTATGCACATTCTTCATTATTTAATTTCTTTAAATATAATACAAGGCTCTAATATTTGGTGGTAACAATTAAAACATAATTCCCAGTTTATACTGAATCAACACAAAATGCCAAAACAAAATTAATAGCCATTCTGGGCTAATGCACTGTGGGCTAAAAATAGATGAGACTGGATGCATTACTGAAATGGATGTACAGATACCCAAACAATTTTTTTTTTTTTTTTTTTTTTTTTTTTTTTTTTTTTGCCATAGTCATATGGGTTTTTATTTTAATACTGAATTTCAGATGCATAAAATGAAAGTTTTAGAATTCATTTCACATAATGATTTTTTGAAGAATACAAAAGCAATTATTAATTTTGGCATAAACATCTTATGCTACAATGAAAATGAATCAATCGTCATTGATAGAATACAGAGGCTGTTCGCACATTTTTTAGACGATTTTGCTTTGCTAATAAAAAAAAAGCGTGCACTTGGAAAAAAAAAAAATTTTACTGCAACTATACTTTTGAAAGTATAAATTATTGTCTGCTACTTGACAGCTCTGTTTCCGTGTGAAATGGTGCTTTTAATAAGCATTGGGCGGAGGGCTATGTTTGTGCTCATTCCTAATAAATTATTCGTATTTAGTTATTAACAAAACGATGTGAAAGACATGTTTTTTTTTTTTTTTTTTTTTTTTTTTTTTTTTTTTTTTTTTTTTTTTTTTTTAATATCTAAAGCTACACTGGTAATACTGTCAACAGGAAAGGAAAAAAATGTCAAAGTTTGGCTTCAAATGGAAAAATTGTTCCAAGTACATATCCAAGGAAAAAAAAGAATGTTTTGAATGTTGCAAAGATAAGATTTTTAATGTTAAAAGAAAATCTGCCAAGTTAAAGGACACATGCAAAATCATTAAAATGTTCAGTGTCAACTAATAAACAAAGTGATTAATGCTGATTTGAATCTTAAAAAAAAAAAAAAAATTTAAAAAGCAATGTGCATTGTCTTTCTGCACAGCATATCGCCAAATACAGAATTCTTTATTAAAACCATTTATCCATAGAAAAATGGAAAAATATTGACACAATATATGAATCTTGAGCGTACTTGAATGTCTGCAATAAAAAGAGATCCATTTATTATCATCAAAGGGGAAGGGGGAAAGTCCTAAAACATGGTTCAAAGAATCTTACGGAAGTTTTTCATGGGGATTTAAGATTGTTGCTGGTTTTTCGAGAAAAATGTTAAGATCAATTCCACATATTATCAGAACATATTTTATGTCCAATTTTTCAAATATTAAATACCTTTTCTTTACGCACAGAGCAATCAATCAATAAACTGCATCAAGACAAAGTAAGCAGTCACACATCAAAATCCACTGCTAATTTCTTGGATAAAATGGAACAAGAAACAGATATCAAGGCCATACCTTTCACTTATATCCCTATTAAATATCTTGATATACTTATATCCCTATTAAATATCTTGATATACTGCCCATGAATTTTGGTTCTTTGAACTTTTTAAAAGCAGACTGTCCAAACATTAACCTATAACCACCTTTGGACTTTGGAAAGTGATTCAAGAGGAATGGCATAAAATACCTCTTCAGATATTACAAAAAGCTTTATTGTCTTGGAAACTACAGTGTAGAACGACAGAGAAAAATAAAGGTTATCAAATAGAGCTTTTAAATCAACTGTTTTAGGTAAAATATTTTTGTAAATACAATAAAAATCATCTAAAAAATGTTCAAACAGCCTCTGCATATCATAAAAAATTTTCTACGACTTTTATGAAAACCATTATAATTTTATGATAATTTTTTTAAGATTCCAAAAGTTATGGCTGTTTGGCATGAAATGTCATATTTCAAGCAGCTTTAAGTGCTTGCCAAGTATTTGAGTTACCACTTGTATTTATCTTCTGGAATGCATCAAAAATATGCCTCTCAAGAGCTTTTATTGGGAATGGCCAAATCCACTGGCTATTTAGCTGCATCATCACAAAGAATACCGCACAGGGTGTATTATAAGAACAAATGCACATACAAATAAAGCTATGTAAGAGTCAAACTTGTTCTCTCAGTTACAGATTAGCACGATACCATCCAAGGTTATAGAGTTCTTCATTTTCGGGGGGTAAGAATTTTTCTGTTGTGACCAGTTGATATTTTTCTGTTGTGACCAGTTGATATTTTTCAGTTGATTACCCACACTTTTTACCTTTTGGTGACATTTAATTATTTGGCAACAAAGATTTTGATGTTGTAAATTTTAAATTTCATGGACCTTATTGACTTTTTTTCTTTTCTTTTTTTTTTTTTTTTTTTTTTTGTTAAAAAGCATAACTCTATTATGAAGTAATCAAATGATGGGTATGTATTAAAATTACATTATTTTTAGGAAAAATAACAGGAAAATAAAACCCTTTCATTTCCTCCACTCATGTTTCAAAATTGCTTTATGTTTCATATCAAACAATTTTTAATACCCTGCTTACAAATTTAAAAAAAATATATATATAAAAAATTGTTTATAAATTTGTTTTTAGCAGAATTGAAAAACAACAATAAATATGTCATATAAACATAATTTGTTTCATTTCTTATTTTTTTATGAAAAGTGCTCATCCCTGCCTATTTTACTTGTTGGAGTTGGCAGTTATGCTGTGTATGATCAGATACAATAAAATGGCTTGCTAAATCACTAAAATAACTTATATGCTAAGCTTATTTTTGGATTAAAAACCAACATTTTTACAGATACAAGAATAATACCACATGTATAATACAAATTAAAAAATAAAAATTATACCTGTATAACGTATTAAATGCTTTTTCACAGCCACTAACGTCACAACCAAAGGGCTTTTCCTTTGTGTGAACCCTAACATGAATTTTTAAACTATATGAAGATAAGAAGCTTTTACCACATCCATCTTGTGTACATACAAATGTGTATTCTCCTAAAATACAAACCATTATGTTAATTTTTTTTAACTCCCTATGTTATACAGAAATTTATAAATATATAAAAAATATTTTAGAGTTGATTTTTCCTTAGAACTTTAGAAATATGGGGGGGAAAGCTAAAATTAAGTTTGTTTTCATAAATTTCTGTTGTTGTTGATGCTTGTCTGATGTAGTCAGATCAAGCCCACGAAATTACGCCTGTCATTGGCAATAGCCTTGAGCACCTAATGGGTGACAGTGCGATTTGGCCCAGTATAAATTTCTATTCATTAAGATGATATTTATATTATTCAATGTAAGAATTTAAAATATATTATAATTATATTGTGTTCATATTAACTACAATTTCTATTTAACTTACAATTACTTAAAATTAAAATAATTATTAGTTACTATAGCATTATTTGCAAACAATCCTGTAAAGTCAGCAAATTTTAGTGAGTAATTTTTCGCCTAACATATGGAAAACAGCAGCCATTTTAAAAAACAGCAGCACACTGAAAGTTACATAAATCAGTAATGAATTAATGAAATTAAAAATGCTGGAAACATATATACTAAAACAGTAAAAATTACATAAAGCAAACATCCATAACAAAGCCTTCAAAATTTCATAACACAATACAAAATTAACTAAATTAAAAATACAGCAAACACGCATACCAAAACATTTCAGTTTCTTAACTTAATACTTAACTTCTATTTTCTCGGTCTTTTGTTTCTTTTTTGTTTATAAAACACTTAACTTTCTTAACATGCAACTTCTGTTTAGTCAGTCTTTTGTTTCTATTTTTCAGTACACAGTGATCTTAAACATTTTAGTTTCCTATTTTAACTTAAAAGAATACAGAAGGAATTGCATAAATTAACCCATTCATGTCAAGGGGAATAAAATTAGAAAATTTAAACAAAAATGAGTATTTTGTGTTTTATTCAAAGTAATACAATGTACAATTAGCGTTCTGTACTGAGTGCTGCCTGGGATAACCACTGACCTGACTTTTTTGTAAAAGTCTTAAAGTGTTAATAGTCATCCTGGCAGAAGGGATTATTTCTTCCATATATAAATGTTACATGTGCATACAAGGCCTGTGTATAAGCATAGATATGCTAATTACAAACACTGTCTTGCATAAGTTACATGAGATACTTAGATATAATCATGACAGTTATATTTAAACATTACCTGATTTCATATTTACAATACTGTTACTGAGATAATCATAATTAACTTATAATTCAGTTATACACTAACTGCAGTTTCTATGCTATTTTTAACTGCTTTACTACATTATTTTTAAAAAGTACATGGAAAATGGACAGTAATAAGCTTACATTACAATAGCTGATGCTCTTATAGTCCAATTACTACTCTATGGGACGAGTTATTTTTTCTAATGCTGATTTCCAATTATTGTGTGGCTTAGTCTGAGTTATGTGACTCAATTTTCTGGTATCTTAGCTGATTTGCTTGGAATAGTTACACCTGCTATTATAGTTGTATTACCCATCAAGGGAGTATCTTTATTACTGTTCAATTACTTGGGTTTTACAATTGGTAAGAGATAACTACACTAATCTGCTGCTCTATTATCTGCGATTTGTCAGTTCAATGTACTCCACTTTTGTAAAGCCTCCCCCCAACCACATTGGTTGCTATTGAAATTATGTTGCAAAGATCCAATTTTCAAGGGCAAAAAATTCTTAATACTTTGCTGAGCATAGTTTGATCACCTCCTCTATCTTCTTTTTTGCCTGCATTTCTGTCATCTGATAGGATCCTTAGGAGAATTTTTTGTATGCCTCGCACTAAAGGGGTCTATGTCTTATGACCTTGGATGGCCTTCAAACTTGAGGCGGAGTTGCTATATATATTTACTTTTGTTGCTAATTGATACTTTGCCAACTTGATGGCTGCTTTTAATGCTAGAAGTTCCACCTGAAAATTGGTATTTTTGCCTTTCAGTCATCTTTCCCATGTTTTAACCACTTCTCCTTCTTGGAGAACACAGAAGGCACAGCCTGTGTTCTTTGTCTTTAAGAATCTGGATATATAGCTAGTGCTTTTTCATCTGGTGAGGTGTACTGCAGGTATAGTGTACTAAACTGGGGAAAATAGGATTAAATGGGTTAGCTTCACACAATGCACCCTTAGTAGGCAAAACACTATATATGAGAAAATAAAAACTTTTCTTTTTCATTAGCAAGCAAACTCCACAGCAGCTAACAATTTGTTATAAATTTCAAAACCATGTGGATAACTACTACCAATACAAAAGTTGGTAGTTCAAAACTACTACCATTACAGAATAGATTATGGCTTTGCATACTGTAATGTGCACACAACTATTACTGGTTTACCAGATAAACACATTTTCATAAAACTCTGGGTCACTTATTTTAGCAATACAGAACTTTGCACAGTGATTCTTGTCAAGGTTGGGTAGATAATGTGATATATCATACCAAGTTACACTAGGTCTCCTAATTGGATAAAAGCGGTCATGCGACTCAGTAGGGTTAATGGGCACGATATGCAACTTCACTTGACAATGGATAAGCAATGGAGACGTAGCACAAAAAAGTACGAAAAGAAATAAAAAAAAATTTTATGCTGCATCTGCTAATTATCTAATTGAATAAAGAAATATCTGTTCTGCCAGAATGATTCATGTAAATTTGACACAAACTCTGCCAACTTTATAGTGAATAGATTTCATAATAGCACAAGATGATTTCCCCCCCACACACACTTTAAGGACCATAAAATATGCCTGCTTTTATATCTGAAGTGCACTTTTTTAAAAATCGTATATAACTTTAAATGCAAGCTTTTGACATACAAGTTGATAGTTTTATAGTTTTCAAATGGAATTTTTTTCCATTCATTTCACTTTTTTATGGTGAATTACAATTTTTATATGCTTAAATATTTGTAATTTTTACATATCTGATAATTCCTGAGCTTTTCAAATATTCCAATATAATTTTTTGGAACTACTCTTATATATGCCCTCGCTTGGCGACAAACTCCATGGTTCCATATTACTATCTAAATTTTTTGTCTACATTTCGAACTTTAAGCCTAAAATGTCTCCAAAGACACAGCTTTCGCACCTGCAAAAACCACGTTTTGAACACACAATTTAAGTTAAAAATCCGAATTAAAAACATATAATTTAAATAGCAAAAACATAAAGTTTCTAACCAAAAATATTTGACAAGAATATGTTTTAACTTAAAAAAAAAATCACAGAACTGCACAATCTATGCAACAAAGGAATCTATGAACTATGCATATCTTGCTTAAATAAATTTAACAACAGTAAATTTCAAAGAATACCATGTACACAGCGTTCTGTTTAAACTTAAAAAAACATCTACGAATTGCACAATCTAGGCAGCAAAGGAATCTGCGAACTACGTACACCTAGCTTAAATAAATTAACATAACAATAAATTTCAAAGAATACCATGTACACAGGGTTCTGTTTAAACTTAAAAAAAAACATATACGAATTGCACAATCTAGGCATTGCGCACTACTCAACAAAATAAACTAAAATAAATTGCGAACAATTCAAAAAACAACAACAGAAATTCATAAAAAAACAATGAACATAACATTCTAGAAAATAAAAACAATAAAATAAAATGCACTTACCATAATGAACGCTTCTTCGTACAGCAGAAATATCAAGAGCATACAAAATCCAGCATACATTCGTGAATAAAGTTTCGTTAGTCACACAACATCTGTCAACAAAAGTGCCACGATTTTACAATATCACTTATCTTTCTGCGATTCAAAATTCCGAAGGTAATGATAAAAACTTCCTCCAAAGTTAACTTACTACACAAAAACCATGATCCAAATCTTAAACTCCGCTGACAGCCACATACTTTAACAAAAAAGCAAACCCACACAAGTCTATCAGAAACGCCCTTCTTCATATGACTTCTCATATCAGCTCCGCATTTTGAACATGCTAAACTCCGCTTCAGAAGTCCTGACTACCACAGAAATTCCAAAAATACACTTCGAACCACATAAACACACCCGTGAACAAAAGACTCGCTAACAACTCCAAATCGTACCTTTTAATACTAAATTGACTTTGCACACAATCTAAAATACACTACTGAAATTTTCCCACCACATCTTTCATTGCAACATTCCATTGCAAAACGTGCAAGACACGAACTAACGAGCAAATAAAACCACGGTTGATCTTTGGATTATGGTAACTTGGCGATTTTTTGGCGACCAACTCTGCTACAGCAATCCTCTATTTTTATTTTTTTATAGCCATTTTGTCTTCACGAAGTAAAGACATGTTTCTTTTCTTTTTATTTACTCAACACTATTTCCAACAATCTACTAGCCGAACTACACTTATGCTAGAAATTTTATGTAACAAAACTGCTTAATCATGACAAATATTAACTGCAAAATTGGGAAAAAGTGCACAATCACAAACTCCTTGCGTGTTTTTCAGAATAGCACATACACATAAACCATTTACACGTCGACTTATTTTTACTTAAAAAAACATCCCAGAATTGCACAAAAATGGCATTGCACACACTCTTAACTTTATCCATCTATGCTGCTATTTTCTCATAAATTACAAAAAACTTGCACGTAAATGCAGGAAAATTTTGTGAATCTTTAAACTCGGTAAAAAGCACATATATGAAATTACCTGATCGCGAAAAAGTATATACCCTTTCCAAGGATGAACATTTCCACGTATAAAATAAATAAAATATCCAAAAACTTTTACCTCTAAATTATCTATTATATTATAAACGTCACCAACGAATTTATACCGCAAAACATTAAAAATAGTTACAAATACTTAATGTCAAATATTAAATTATTTCCATACACGTTTACTTCAAACTGAAATATATACCAAATTGCTACAAACATAAAATTCACAAAATAACTATCATTTAATTAAAATATCACTAAACCATGTACACGTCG